TGCGAAAATAAAATATCTGATACAAGGAATTTTTACGCCCTTGCTAGTTCTAATCTGAATGTTTCGAATATTGATATTTATTAGCGTTCGATTAAGTTGCACAACTTTTTTGAAGATAAAAGATTTATTTTTACTCCTTTTTTTCTCAATTAATTAATACATCAGAATTTTTTTAAATCGTTACTGAATATTATTAGTTTGTAAATAATATCGTTTATAGAATACAAAATCGAAAGAAAGAATATTATTCAGATATTTTTAATAAAATTAGAAGAATTAAATTTATAATCGATTTTGCAATACCACGCTTTATATTAAATTTATCGCACATTCTTTATGTTCAAGTTTCTTAATTATGTCACATCCTTTTTTTAAATTCTCGGTACTTTAAATTCCTGCTTTGGTAACGTTGTATTACATAAGAGATATTATTATATTAAAACAATATAACAATATTTAACTATAACGACAATATTACCTAATTATTATTATTACTGTGTAATATACTATATCAATTTCATACCTAATCACTGTTAAGTAGACTTCATGTTATAAAAGAAATAATCACTTTATGTGTTTATACGCGATATTCTAATTGAAAATATACTGTTCGCATAATACGACGTTCGAATAACATAATATTCGCATAATGGTCGTTTGCATAGGAACGAAGTTTTCCTGTATTATTACAAATTAAAGGACAGTGGAGGTAGAACTAAAGTAAAACAAGCAAAAATTATCCCTAATTCGACATATTGAATTAAACAAACGCCATTTTTTGGTAATTATATCAAGAAAAAATGCTACTTGTGTTTGAAAACAAAATTATCTGGAAAAAGCAATTAACAGGTGAAAATGATTGCTGTACATTTAGTGCTTGCATAATCTACTATAAATTTTACAAATGATACTTTAACTGACATTATCGCCTTTAAAGTGTGCATTTTAAGGAATTTCTTCCCGATATCTGTCATGGGAAGCCAACGAAATGCCAATTGTTCAGACCAGACGAGCATATGCTAATACGGGCATACACATATTTCGTGTGTACGTATATGTGTGTGTGTGTGTGTACAGGGTTCTATACGAAAGTAAAAGAAACCATTATTTATCGGGCATATGAATCGAGTCAATAAAAATGCGCGAATTTCTGTGAAAAGTGGCATGACGAGGAAATAATAAATGTTATTTACACGCATTCAATGAGATTTTCAATATTCTGACTCGTGTGTTGTCACTGATGTAAAAAAATTGTTGTCGATGTGTTAAATAATTTCTTTCGTTCGAAATGTCTTCGATTTAAAAATGCAAATACACGTAATAGTAACTCTTGATACAACGAAAGAGACACTGGATGACGTTTGCGGACTTCTTGTACAGACTCTTCGTAAACAGGACAACTCGGAGGAAACTAGCGAGGGTAGATGGATGTTTTATGAAAAAAGTTTCATTGTGTTACAAGGATCCTGGTACTGTCAATATTTGATAGGGTCGTGGTGAACATTAAACGAGAAATGTGATTATAATAATTACTGTAATATCAGCTGAAACAAATTGTTCAGTGTCTCAGAGAATGAAGAACCTTGGTTTAACTTCAGGATTTAAAATTAAGATCGGTTATGTTATTTTGTTGGCTGACAAGACGATTATTATACCTTCCAATAAATTCTTATTTTTGCGAAAGAAAATTTTCGAGAGATATTCGATAAATAATTATAAATTGGGGACTTTTAAGAAAGATGTTCGATATTCGAATGTTAATTAACGAAGATCTGTTGTTATGAGTAACCATTCTTAGAAGAGAAAATTTTTGACGAGTGTCAGATGAATTTAAGATTTTTTAACAAAGATCGTCAGTATTTATTTGTTAATTGTTAACAAACCTATGACAACGATAATAATTCTCAGAAGAACAAATTTGTTAACTCACTTAAAGTCTTTAAACAAATAATTTTAATGTTTACGTGTTAATTATCAAAAATTCAGTGACATATAATAATTATAATGAAAAAAGATTTTTGACGCGTATTGAATAGATTTGAAATTTTTCAATAACGATCTATCATAATAAACTTCATTTCAGTGTACATGTATTGATCATTGAAGACCTTATGTTAGGAGTAATGACTAAGTATCTTCAATGAATATCGAATAAACTTCAATTGATTAAGCAAATATTTTCAACGTACACATCGTACAACATACACATCTATCAACGAAGAATCAAGCTTACGAGCAATAATGCTTACAGACAAGAATCTTCAACGACTGTTGAACAAACTTAAAATTTTTAAATGAAGAACTTTAACGTATACGTGTTAATCGACGAAGATCCAATAGCGTAAGTAATATGATAATTCTTAGAAACAAGAATCTTCAGTGACTGTTGAATAAACACAAAACTTTAAAACAAAAATCTTCAGACTACGCGTGTTAATCCACAAAGACCCAATGCAACAAATGACAATTCTAGCGAGAAGGAAAAAGAAAGAAATTTCTACAAATATCGACTGAACCTGTAATTTTGTAGTAAGGATCTTCAATGCACACACATTAATCAGCAAGAGCCAATACCAGGCATAATAATTCTCGCAAATGAGACTCTTCAACGTCTTTCGAATAAGCTAAAGATTTTTAAATAAAAATCTTCAGAATACGCGTATTAATCCACAAAGACCCAATGCAACGAATGGCAACTCTAACAAAAATAAAAATAGTAGAAATTTTGAAATGAACGAATGACAACCCTAAAGGAGAGAAAAAAGAAATTTGCACGAAAATTTTGAAGCGAAGATTTGCAATGTACACGCATTGATCAGCGAAGACCCAATGGTCGAGCAGCTTCTACAAAATCTCTTGATCCCCGATTAACGCTAAGATTCCGTGAGAGCCTTAGGGGACAGGCTGTATTAATTAGCGCTAATTACGCGAATTAAACCCGATCGCTGTTCCGTATGCACCGATCTGTTTGTAACGCAACGGTAATTGTCATCGATACGTCCCCAACGTATCATCCCCCAATTTATGATCGACATCGACGTTTGAAGTGACCACAGAGACCTTTCGCGATCCCTTCTCTAAATCGGACTTGCATACTCATTAGCGTGATTTTTCGGTAACCGGAGATTAGCCTGGTCGATTAATTTACGCTGATTTCGCACGCCGTGCACCTCCTACCACCCTCTGGCCCTCATTCTCTGTATCACGCTGCACGCTTATCCAATTATTCGTCGAGAGACGATGTATTTCAAACAACGATCCTTAACCTTTGTTAGCGGGCACTTCCATCGGCTTACCGGCGGACGTAAAATTTTCGAAATGAAATATTTCGCCGGCTAAAGGCTAATCCTCGAATGTGACAAACGCCGGATCGGACGCCGATTAATTTACAGGGTAAAAATCGGATCGATGATCGAGTGCGATCTCTCGTTGGAAAATTTGTTGCGTTTTGTAATTTTTAAGACGATTTAGTCGAATAATTTATTTTCCTCGAGGCATCGTTTAGTTATAGTGGAAAGTTTCTCTTTTTTCTTTAGACTTTCGATAAGGATGCGAGATACTTTTATGCGAATAACTGATGTCAGTGATTTCATAATTAGGATGCTTGATAATTATGGAAAATATGTTGTTATTTCATTTTTGTGATTTTAGAAAGAAGCGGGGTGATATTTTATTGAGAATAATTTATGTCCAAAACTAGAAGGTTATTCGATAACTATGAAAAGTTTCCTTCTTTCTCCTGTCTGAATTTTAAAAAAGAATATTATACCATGATAAATACCACTAAATGATATTTCGAGGTGAATAACTGATATTAAAAATTATGATCCCATAAAGGAGTTTTACAGTAATGGAAAAATTTTGTCTGAGATTTTAAAGAGAACTCGAGATGTTAATGAAATATGATTAATTACAACGAGTAATTATAATGAAAATTACGATACTCGCATGTATATGCAAAATTTTTTATATTTGAATTATGGCGATTGCATTCGTGTCCACGAGCTTTGAGCAAAATAAAAAAATATAGTGAATCAATCTGCCATCATAATTTTTAACATAATATAAACATTACGAAATCTAGTTTTACGTTAAATATTTTCTAACTTTAATTTGTGATACCAATCTTCCATAATCAATCTATTAAAGATCACAGGATCCAATTTTTAAGAAGATAAACTGTTCCACATAATTTATGTACGTAAAGAAATTCCAGAAGATAACAAAATTCTTTTAATTTCAGTATAAATTGATGGTCTCTATTCGTGTACTACTCATTCATTCGGTATTCTTCAGTTACCGTCGACGTATCCAGGTATCAATTATTTTCTCAGATTCTTGAGTGACCAGAGTTTCCGTACTTGTGTTCTTGGCATTGATTGGTAAGACAACACTGGTCAATCTTCTGTAACACAATATCACCTCGAAAAAAGCTGTTGCCCGCGAAAGCGTATTCCTTTGTCCCTTAATTATGCTCGTGTAACGAATAAGCGCTGAACCTTATTGACCACAGCTCGAAACACCTGATATCCGTTTCGATATTTCCTTTTTCATTATCTCTGCACTCAATTATCAACCAATACGCGATCCTACATATACGTGTAATTTTATAAAGTTATTTATACGTTCAAACGATAGCGAAGAAAAGAGTAAAAATGTAAAAGAAAAATTGAATCTTGCACGTAGATCGTTTCATATTTGCATTGGATATAACATAACACTCAAATAACGCTCTAAACGAATCTTAAAAATTAAGCAAGTAGTACAGAAAGGGATCGGACAATTAGAATTAATGATAAAAATAAGTATCTTGCTAGGAGCTATAAAATTTCGATACACCAGTTGTTCCTAATAATATCACAGGGTATTAACAGGAAGATATAATTCGTTGCTTACTTTCAGCAATGGTAACGTTGATTTTTGTTGAGAATTCGTATTAAACTGTCATGTGCACGTTACGATAAATATTAGTGTAAAATTATAAGGAAAAATAAGCATACCCTCAAATCTACTTCGAGCAGTTCCACAGGACCCCTCATTTGGCTGCATGGCCCAGTAATCTGTAAGTAAAATCAGTGATTACGTCAGAGAAAATTTATAAGATACTTGATCGATTTGTACGAATAAATTGATCAAATTTTATACATTTCTAAATTTTTAAAATCGTTAAATCGATATTCTACTGGTTAAAAATTATTAATCAAGTCGAGGCGTTAGAAGCACGTCTGCGTTTGAATTTAAAAGCGTAACAGTATTGTTTCGAGCTATTTGTTGAATTTGTCGATTTGCAGAAAATTCGAGACTCATCCCAGAAACGTGAACGTGAAATGAGTTTCGTAAAGGAAGCCCGATATTGTGTCGAGTTTAAGCGGTATGTCATTGAAACATGAAATATGCGTTAGAACAGCGATTAAAATTGCAAGGAAGGATATATCGTTCCACGGGGATGACTCGAATTACACGTATGCTTTCCAATTTACAAATAATCCGATTTGAATCGGTATAATCTCGTGCTACTTCAAGGGACTTCCCGTGGACGAATAAAATATGTGGTAAGAATGGAATGCAAATGAGAAATAAATTATTGTACATGAGATATTAACAGGTGTAGATGTTACATATAGCGAATAAAATTATTGTCTGATCAGTGTCGTAATTATATATATTTTTATATTTGCTTTTTCGAAGGTGGTTCTTTATAAATATGTATATTAGTTGCATAGAAGCCAAACTGATAATTTCTGCTAAAAAGGATAACTTAATTTTTGCGAAAATAAGCAGTTATCGTTTGACCTTTGAAAAATTATATACTAATTATAATTGTTCCATGTTTTTTTTTTAATATTTAATCATGGTTATTTGATTTTTTAAAAGTCAAGTGCCTACTAATCACAATTATTCTATTTTTGAAAAATTGCATACCAACTGAGAGATTAAGTACTAATCATAATTCTTAAATTTCTGGAAAATTAAGCAGTAATCGTAACTGCTTGATTCCTGGGAAAATTAAGCATTAAACCTGGGAAAATTAAACATTAATTTCTCAAAATTTGGATATCAATTATAATTGTTTAATTTTCAAAAATTCCAATATCAACTATTACCATTCAACTTCTGAAAAATTATGCATTTCACCTTAAGCATTCAATTTTTAAAAGCGAATTACTAACCATAACTAATGTTCTGAGATTTCTAAAAAAGAAATTTAACCAATTAAACCTTTGAGTCTCCCATACACGAAACTAAGGCTAGATCACCAATTAAACAACTACAATTATTAATCGTCCATGAAGAAAGCAAATGGCAAGTGCTCGCCACTGAAAATCGCAATTACAAACAAAATTCCACTGACGAAACGAATTATTTACGAGACGTCGACATTTGCATCAGCCGTGAAAAGTTGGCGAGGCAAATCAGCGGATCTCTTTTCCTTGGCCCATTGTACATTTTTATAATTGGCTCGATAACTTGTTAATTAACTCCCGAATTGTTCGCTGAGACGTAAAGGAAACACGACGAGCGACTTTCTCGTATAAAACGCGCAAGACGTTAAATTAAGAAGCACTCGTTAGACGATCGATCAACAGGGAAATAAACGATACCTCGTCCGGCATTTTCCTCCATTTTTGAAACAGTGGAAAGAAATACACGATCAAATCCGATTCGAATCGAATGGCGTATTTACGCGATAGGTTCCATGATCAGAATACCATATCGAATTATTAAATCCCATACAGAAACTTCAAATCGATTTACTCATGCGTAAAGGGCATTATCGATTTATCTATCTTGCGTGGTTAATTTATTCATGCATTTTCTCTTACTTAACCTGATCAATCCCAATCTGAAATCTCGATGACGCGAGAGATAAGAAGAAAAGGTTCGATTTTTCTTACTCCGATACCAGCTCGATTAATCGTTGAGAACAGACGATGGAAACGAGTTCTACGCCCACGTATTCCTCTATCCACGATTACAGCTTCCTGCACGAGTTTCCCGTAGAAAGTCTCCGACGAAAAGATCGGAGGATTTTATAAAAATAAGGATTTTCAGCAGCATCCGTGGGAACGCAGTAGGATATGCAGAAATGGATGCACAGGAGGAAGAAAGTGGTTGAAACGAACAACCGCGTGTTCGTAGCACACATTTTCGTGCTCCTCGCGAGGATGCTGCTAAATTCCGGTTACATAACCGTACCGACAACAGTACAACAATTTAACCACGTGATTATATAAACGGCAGCAAGCCTGCGTCTGACAGATTATGTCTTGTCGACGACATCCCCTATCGTCGCATCGGCGAGTCATAAAAACGGCCCTTTCGTTCACCAAACAATGGCGATATAGAAGGTCGATGCCAGGAAGAAACACGGCAAGACAAAGCTTGCAATCGGCAGAAATATTTTGGGCAAGTTATTTCCCGCGCATGCCTCTTTGTCGAGCAATTCTTGACTCGTATGTACCTACGTTCCAAATTAGATGGAACATGTATAATCTGCTGGATCGAGCAGCATAAATTAGTCGAAAAAGTATAGCTTGGTGGAGCTTACCGATCTTTGGAGATCAATTTCATTCGAATATCATACTTTTTGCGTTATTTTGTAATTTATTTGTTCGCACGAGGATTTTAATTTCAGATATCTATCGCTGTAATTTGATAATAATTTGAAGAGGTATAGGGATATATTTAACAAGCAAAATGATCGATAGAAGAGAAAAATGCCTGGTTTCAGAGAAGTTATTAATCTTGAATTAAGAAACATTTCATTGGGAAATGTTTGGTAAATAATTTGGAAAATCGTTGAATCGCAAAATATTTTTTTCTGTATTCGATAAATAATCGGTTGAGTGGATTTAAAAGATTATGGTCGAAGATACTGTCACTGTGAACTTATAACAATTTAATGATGGAGAATATAGATATATTTTAATATGCAAAATGGACGAAAAAAGACAAGAAATGGATTTAAAGGGGTTATTAATCTTGGATCGAGATTTATTTTATTGAAGAATGTTTAATAAATTATTAAAAAGATTGTCGAATCGCGAAACGATATTTCTTGTATTATTTTGTAAAAAGTTTTGATTGAGGTTTTAAGGTCACTGTAATTTATTACAAATTTAAGAAAGGAATGTGTGAATCCATTTAGCATGTTTATTTTAGACCGTAATTTGTAGTAAAATTAACTATTTCTCCTTTTTCTTTCTTTTATTTTTATTATATTTATACTTTTCTTACAGTTTCTCCATATTTTCTTTCCTCATTTTTCTTTCATACATTTCAATATTATTAATTACATTAATTTCTTTTTATTTACATTGGCGACCAAATTACCGTAACTGTCTTGTATCTAGTATTCTTCAGATTATTTAGAGATTATAAGATTTCATTTGATCTTACTATACTAGAACATTTCTTACATAGGGAAATTTCCGCTTTATTAGTAAAAAATTTTCTATATTTATACAACAAATAATTTATCGAAATTACACTACTGAAGGAAAATATTTTATACTTCAACTTACTATATTAACTCAGTGCAGCCGAACCATAACGTCATTATTACCTGCCCTTTCTCTCATAATACCATCCCGATACTATTTCCTCTTCCTATCACGTAGGTATCACAAAAAAGAGATCGATAAATTCGAAAAAACTAATTTCAAACGACACGACTATTCGCCAAATGTATCAAAGCTAAGAAAAGCGATCCAAATTACTCTATTAGCGAGAGTATATCAGACCAATATTGTCAGAAATCCAACAGTGCGTTGCTATGCCATCACGAATCTACGGTATTGTGCAGCCTTAGAACTAAATAATCAATTTATTATGTTTACAAGAGAGTTATATCGACATACAAGAGTGTCAGGTGGCAATGATGGGTCCTTAGAAACTTTTCATTTAATACGCTTGCTCGTCAGCTTTTGAACATCTGTATCCTCGAACCTATTGTGGTATTCACGAACCAGACTCTATGGAGATTTATATCGTTAATGCGCAGTCGGAAGTATATTACAGATTACTGATATACTCATTACTCATAATGTAAAATGCACGCGAGTCGCCGTGCTCTTAGAAAATTTGTTAATAAACAATCTGCAGTTCATTCATGGAAATATCCATTTGCCGGTGGTTACCTGATGAGAATGATAATCTCTATGTAAGCGACTTGGAATAACAACAATAACAACATATCAATGAAAATATCAGCAATAACGATAACGAAACATATTTATCGAATGCTTAATTTCTTTAGAGTGTACAGTCGGTCGCAAAGAGATTTAAACACGCGTATGATCTGACGTGCAATGTTTTCTGTTAAATTTTAATATTAGAATTATCAAAAAATCACTAGTTTTTAATTTTTTGCAGTTATAATTACTGCAAAGATAACAGAAGTTTTTGGAAAAATTACTCTCAATTTTTGTTGAGGTAGGACCACGATTATACATATTTATTACAGGTATGATTGATTTTCATGATTTGTATTGTATTTTAATATTAAAATTATCAAAAAATAAGCGAGTTCCTAATTTTTTGTATTTATAGTTATTGCAAATGTAACGAATATTCTTGGAAATATTATTGCCAATTTTTTAGATAGCACCACGATTATATATACTTATTTATTTGTGTTATATCATTTGAATAATGATTATTTAGTACGCCAAATTTACTATATATATAAATTTAGAACGCGGTATATTTTGTACACATTCAGTATAATTAATTTTCATTTAGGATACGTAGAAGTACATTACATATGAGTGATTCTACTTCTAAATAACTGTACAATGAACACAAAAAACGTATTACATTACGCCAGATCATAGCTGGTATAGAGTAAAATATTTATGACAACGAAGGAAAAGTGAGAGTGTAAAGAGGAACGAAAAACTGAATCACACGAGTGCTCGAATAGTTCTATAATCGACTGTACAGCTTTCGAAATATCTGATAGTTCATAGAACGATAGCGTTGTTTAAATAAATAACCCGCCAATTATCTTTAATATCGAATCATCAGTTATTATAAACCAAATTAATTTTAATTTCGT